TACGAACCCTTTGTACGAACAAAAGTAAGAGAAATTTAGGATAAGAATACGAACATGTTCTTGCATGAGGCCCAATGTCCCTCACCCCACTCCTAAAGAATCGGGGGCTCCTCAGTTTTATTCTTTTGAGACCTAAGCTTTTGCTTTGTGCTCATTTTAATTATAACTTGCTCACCTTCTCTATCCTTTGCACCACACCTCCAGTTATGTACATATATACTTAACAGATGCCTATTTAGGAGGTGATGTGAGTATGAGTCACCTGTGAACCATAGCCATGTGATGTGAGTATCAGTCACCTGGAGGCAGGACTTAAAAGCCTGAATTTTGCCTGAAACTCTCAGACTGAAGAAGTCTCTTGGAAGAGAGACAAAACGTTTCATTAAAGAAGAACCCGTCCAGAGGACCTATACAATTTTTTTTCCTTTTGATTTTTTACCTGGATTACTGAGATGCATCAGGTCAAGCTGGAAAGATCTCCTAATTAAAAAAAAGCAAACAAAAGAAAATAATAAAAGAAAACATTTTATTATTTTATCCTAAATAACTAATATGTCTAATCTAGTCATAAAATAATTTCGGATAACTGGAATGTTAGTGTGGTGAAGCCAAATAAATGTAATGTCGGCCTGCCGTACAATAAGCTCCTGTCTGTTGAAGTGACCCGGAAGCAGAGATCCCCAGAGCAGAAGCCAAGATTAGCAAGATGGATTTATGACTGAACGAATGTCCACCAATTCTTTTTCCATCTCTGTCGGTAACAATACAGAAGAAAACAAGTTTTATTTTTTCTCCGAAAACACGGGTGTGAAAAAACTCTGGTTGTTAATGCTTCGCTCTGCATGACGTGCAGCGGGAGTGAGTGAGGAAAAGATCCCACATCCCACGACGTAACTTTTCTACAGCGGGAGGGGGAAGTTTTGAGGATTCTCTACGTGTTTTAAAATGCTATATTTCTTCATTTATTTTCAGAATATTTCAAATAAATGGCCCTTTAAAAAAATAAAGAAATGCTTTACCTGCCCAGTCGGGCAGGCATTGGGACACACCTGCCTGAATATGGGTTTTACCTGCCCCTGGCAGTCGGGCAATAGGATTTGTCGAACCCTGATTCAAATGTCAATGTGGGCACCTCATAGGTCAAGGATTATCTCTCCTGAGTTCAAGGTCACAGGTCACATTTCTCTCCAATTTGTGATCCTTTAATTTATTTATTTTTTACTCTGTCAGTATTAGATCGACCAATGCAGGATTGTTTTAAGGCCAATGCCGATTATTTTGACATCAGTCTAACCGATCCCCGATATGTGCTGCTGATTTTTTTGCTGTTGATTTCTTCGCTGCCCAGCCTTTTAACTGGAGCAGGAATAGGTCAACACATCAGCATGTGTGCCACTTCAAAACAGAGCTGACATTTCAGCACAATTTCTCCTCGTTACAGGCCTTGAACTTAAATGTCACATATAGCACCTTCTTCTGATTGTTATGGATTTCGGACTTTATCCTGCTTGTTTGTCATTACCCACTGCCAAAGCTGAAGGTAATAATGTATTTGTGTGTCTTGTGTGTTTGTTAGTTTGCACAGTGTTAGCAAAACATCTCATGAATCACTGGACAGATTTTAATTTAACCCCCATTCACTGGATGTACATCTACAAACTACAGGATGGTCGTCACAGAAAATCGATCTTAGCTGCTACATAAATGGCTATAACTCAATCAG